AAAGATATAAGCTACACGTTTGTTTGTTTTGCGACCCCTTTAAAAAGCTTTCAGAGCCTGGCATTCTGAGTGGCCTTGTCCCTGCCCACTCTATGACGTCAGAGAGCGTCTCCGGCGTTGGCTAGCGTCGCGTTCAGGGCGGCGGGAGCGACGGCTGGCGTCTTTGATGCTCGCGGTGTGAACGTAGCATTACACTATATCTGTGTGATGTCACCAATGATTGGACCACTTAAAAGCTAAATATTATGGAAATTATATTTTTGCTAAAATGTCGGCTTCTGAATTGGGAATTGCCCATGTTTTAGCTATTAATTAGGGATTCCTCGCTAAACCCGCTTTCTGTACCCCCTTGGTTTTGTATATTTTTGTACATGTTATAACAGACTTTTCATCTAAGTTAACAATCAGCCACTTAAGCATGACTTTAGTGATTTGCATTTGATCAGGGAAAAACAGCCATGCGATCCACCCTTTTCCGTAATGCAGGTGTGTTGGGCGTGTTTCAGCTCCAGGTGTGAACTGAAAGTAAAAGTATGGCCAGAAAACTGGCATTTCATGTAGGGATGTAACTGCATTAATAAAAGCGTATATAGGCTGTTTATTAAAAAAGAACATATATATAGTGAAATTTGCCATTGTATTATAGAAACAGTTCTTTGTACAACAATAAAGGTGGTGATGCAAATCAAAACTTTCAGCCCTATTTTGATCATGTTCAAGTTCGTCATTAACTCTGTTGGTATGTACATTTTGAAGGCAGTTTTATGTGTCTGGTAACTTGTATAATAATGTTGAAGAAATTTAATTGAGTTGTTCTTCTTTTGGGTGTACTAATTATTATACCAATATTTGCTTAGCTAATATTCAAGTAACTGCATTGCAATGTATGTTCTGCGCTTATTATTTAACACTTTGTTGTCATTGTTGAGATTTTATATCTCTTATCCCTGTGGTAGGTTTCCTGCTACACGGCTCTGCTGGTCCTCTGACAGCCCGGCTGAGAGGAGCTTTACTGCTGCCCTGCTTCGTGGACAGACCCCTGCCTTTGGAGGAGCTGGAGGTGGACTGGAGAAGGACTGATTCAGACACCATCGTGCACCTATTCCAGGGGGGTCAGAGCAGACCTGAATCACAGGGGGATGCCTACAGGAGCAGAGCCCACTTCTTCTCTCAGGAAATACCCAAAGGCAACTTCTCTCTGCTGCTTGAGGATGTGAGGACTGCAGATGCAGGAGTGTATGAGTGTGTGGTTTACACAGAGCAGGAGCAACGTGAAACACGGGTGGAAATACAGGAAGCAGGCAAGTGAGCCTTTCTGTTATACGGCTTAAAACATATGGAAAAAGGGGCATAGGTTTGTTATTAACATTGGGGGAGACGAGTATATCAGGGTCAGAGGTGTGACATCACTGTATGGCGCTGTGTATGTTCGTTTTTTTATTCCTAAATTATTGCTGCTACAATCACAATATTTATCCTTCCTGTGGTGTTGCACACCAACCCCTTTGTAAGTTTAAAATGCATAAAAGCACCACATAGATTTGTGTCCTGCATCAAGGCTTTTTGACTTTGTCAGGAACCTCTATTTAAACAAAGTAAATTAAAACTAAATCAAGGCGAGGCCTGCAGATACATGCAAGGCAAGATTAGACCAATTCAGTTTATTTATATAATTCTCTTGAGGTATATTTTACCATTATTTTTTTATTGAAAACAAGTGGTATGCTGTCAAAACAAAGGTCCTGAAAGCCGCACCAAAAATATTAAAACAAATTATTTCATGGATTAGGAAGCCTAACAAGGCAACCAAGAGGTAAGAAACAAATTGGATG